AGTCAAGAAGGGAGAACAAAATTAATCAGGGCTAAATGGACAAAGTATATATATTAAGATGAATCCTTTGCAAACCCAACACATCTTTAAATGCCACAAAGGACAGTCAGTTCAGTTGAAAAGAGGTAGTCATTAATATCTCAGAAAAGGGAAAACCAGGAAAACAGTAGAATTTTCATGAAAGTGATTTTTTGAAAAAACCCCAGAATTCTAGTCAAAATTAGATCTTAAGAGAAGCTTTTAACACTGAGAATAATGATTATATACTTTTTCCTGTAAAGCATGAAATATATCATTTTTTTCTCTGAAATGTGGCATAATTTTCTGCAGAACTTCAGAGAAAGTTATGACATGCTCGATACCTGGTGGTGCATGCACATGCAAGATGCTTAGTGAGTTATTACTATGGTCTTCCCACTCCATGACAGTGATTTCAAATTTCAGATTTGTGGCATTATGGGTTTTCACAATGGTAATCTTCACAAAATCACCATCTGTAGTAAACAAGCTGACTTCCAGCCTTTTTCTTTCTAGTTATTTCACCGCAGCACAGCTGCTTGCCCCACTGATTTCAGTGAGTATAATACTGTGTCTGTTTCAACGTCAAGAGATTGTTATTTTGGAATTGGTCTTGGAACTAAATTTGAACTCTAAAATTTGCTGGATGTGTTAACATCCCTAAGCAATTTTTCTTAAAGGTTTGCAATTTTGTCCTTTCAGAAGCCCCATATATGAAGGATTTTAAAAAATGTTTAGAATTGATACTCCCTTTCTGTCCACAGTTTTCAGCTTTACCAGAAAGTATTTGTGAGTAGCTCTGCTGTGCTAACTAGAAGTCTGTGAAAGACATCACAAGATCACAAGTTGCCTCACTGAGCCAACACAATCTGGATACAACTTTTCATCCTGGAACACTCCCTTTCTTGTCACTCCTCCCTAGAAGATGAGCACCTAATTAAGCACTCTGTTTCACAAGTGAGACTATTTCCAGCAGTGCTAGAACTCAAAGGTGGACTGTCATGTTACACAAATGCCAAGTTATAGTTACTATAGGCTCTGAAAAAGTCACCTGGAATAAAAAACAGAAAAACCCACCACCACCACCAATCTCCTGCCCCCCCCCGAAAAACAAACCACACAAGCAAAAGACAGAAAAATCTAGAAGCATTGTTTTAACTCGATGACTTCAAGGTGATTAAGCAGTAAATTTTTTAGCTGATGCTGTAAGAATATGTATGAAAAGCACCTTTGTCAAAATGGCAAATCTCCACTCAAATTTCAGATCATATCATCAGAGAGTGCAGTATATCTAGGAAGACTTGCAGTGAGCCACAAAAACTTGTATGTAAAGATCTGTGTTGTACCGACAGTGAAATCATGCAATAATTCACGCAATTAAGGACTAGCATTCAGACCAGACTTTGTTTTTTTCTGTAACAACGAACTCTTTTTAGATGGTACGAGAAGACCCAAACAGTGATTCTGCATAATAGACACTCATTTGCCCTAGAACTAAAACTTACATTACATGTATGGTGCTTATTTTGGAAAGGCAATCCTTCAAACCAACTTGGACATGTCCTTACACAGACAGTTACAGCTTCATAGAATCATAGATTCTTTCATTATTCATATCTGTTTCATAGTTTAACAAAGTAAAATATTCTTATTCAGAATGAAGCAACTGTGAAACTGTTAACAGCTCCCATCCCACCACAGCTGATCAGTATAGCTCTAAGAAGCAGCAGAAAAGGTTTTTGCTGAAGCTCTGAAAAGAAAGGATACCAAACATGACCTCCTCATTGCAGGCATGAACTCGAAAGGAAAAGTTTCATGGATCCCCCACCAACATACATTTCCATTAAAACCAGAATAAAAGGCATTCACAGATGTTAAAACCAGAGGAAAAATATGTTACAATTCATTCTGACCCAGACAAAACAGGCCACAAAATTTCACCATCAGACACCTTAACAAATACACTACGAAAAAACTTCCATAACTTTCCTTGAGCTAGAGTGAATCTTTCAGAAAAATGCTCAAAAATCAGGAGAGAGAGAAAAAAGTTGATTCTTCATCATAAATGCCAGAAGGGACTGTTGGGATGATTCCATATTAACAGTTGTATATGACGGCCATCCCTCCCATTCGTGTAACAAAAAAAAATTTCAAATCTGTCTATATAATTAGATTAAAATGTCACTTTGCCTTTTTGCCGTACAATGCAAGGCTTATCAACATGCATAATAAAGTATGTTTTTCAAATTTAAAATTAACAGAAGCAATGTAAAAAGCTGTATAGCCTTTCAGTTTGCAAAGCATTAATTTTAGCTTAAAACAAGTCAACTTTACTGAGTTTTATAATGAATTAGTATTAGTCCCTTAAGACATAACAATTATTTAAATGCTATTTTGTAGTAGCTGAACTAATCATATTTTAAACTGAATTTTGGATAAATCACAGCAATGATGTTGTATGTGACAAAGACAAGAGAAGACATTTTCTTGTGGGAGGGATGGATGAAAAAGCAAAAACAAAGGATAAGAAACATAAGCAAGTAAAATAAGGAAAGATAAAGTAAAATATACTAAGCTACATGGAATAAGAGGGATGTGAGAAGTAGAATAATGATGCTACAAGGTAACACTAGAAAAGATCTGCTACAATCTATTAAGAAATATAGGATGAACTAAATAAAGAATGTTTATGAAAATTACTTTTCCTAGTGTATTCAAATGTTTAAAACTAAAAATGGCACAGAGTAAGACAGTGAACACTATTTCTCTATTTTGGAGTGAGGACATTGTGGCAATGGCATGAATATTTTCTGTATCGGTCAGATGTTGACAAACAGACTTCAGCTTCTGAAGTGATACTTTCATAAATTATGTACTTTTTCAAACACTGAAGTTCACCTAGTTATTGAGTACCATATATCCTAGGAAGTAAGTTACCAGGATGTTGAGGGAAAAAATACATAAAACTAAAAATACACATGAAAATCTGAAGTTCAAAACCACTTTTTTTCAAAATCTGCCTGGCTGAACACTCAAAACCATTTTTAAGAGAGAAACATAGTTACAACATTCTTCTTTTCACAAAACCTATTTCTAGTATCATTTTAAGACCTTGTTCTGAATACAATAGCAAAAAGACTGATATTAGATTCAAACATTTTTTTTGCCCTGGAAAATATGTCCCAAGTTATTTAAAGTATGTAAGAAATACATGACTTTATAAAACAAAAAATACATATAAACATCGCAAAAAGTTATAAACCTGACTTCAAAATTCATGTGTTGCTCATGTTTGGCACATCTATTAGTCATGCTAATCAGACGAGTCATTAAAACCTTTACACCTTACTAAAACATTCTATATGAATAACAACATACAATACAGACTATAAAAAAAATACTTCAGAAACATTTTAGAAAGTATATACACAGTGTATATGGCTCTGAGGATTCTAAAAAATACTGGTTTTCCACACACAGAATTGTGTGAATTCAAACTCCATCCTCCTAAGACTAGAGCTGAGTTCCATCAGAAAGTTTTCAGCACTCCCTATCAAGAATGTAACAGTTTCATTTGAAATCTTTAGACTAAACTGACAACAGACATGTCATAATTTTATGACTAACTCTAGATACCTATTATTAGAAATGGAAATTCTGTCTGCTCTGAACCTCAAAAAGGGACAGGGAAAATGTTCGTATTTCCAGGATAAAGAGCAAATATTTAACAAGGAGGCTAATGTTTTACAGGTAAGTAATACATGTTCTGAATTGTTAAGTTTTTAAGAGTGAATACAAACAGGTTAGTAGACAGGGAATTGATGTAGCACAATAAATTCATTATTCAGGTATCACCTCTGAACACATGTACATAAATGCAGTTATACATCCTCCAAGATGATTTCTACATTATTTATCAGATCAACTACGTAAGAAAACATTTTAATCTCAAATTCATGATACACCTGGAACTGCATTCCTAAATCATCCTGAATGCAGCTGAAATCCTCTCCCTGATATGTCAAATTTGAGACATGACAACATATAAACATAACTATGTGAGAAATTTAAATGCTTTGAAATGTTGAAGATTAAAAAAGAAAGGAACCCTTACCAGTTAGTAACACTGATTTCACAATGTGAATTTATCTACTTCAGTATGAAACTGAATTAGTCAAAATTAGAGCATGAGGAAGAAAAACAATCTTATATAAAAGTGTTATATCTGCAGGAGATAATAAACCAGAAAGCAAACCTACAACCTATACTGAATTATTTCCTGTTCATGTTACTAATTTGAAAATTCCAGCCAATTGTTTACCAGTTCCTTTCCTCTTTCTGCATACAATGAACCCTAGAGACAATGTCTGAACTCTCCTGAAGACAGAACCTTTTGCAAGCTTATTGTCACACAGCCTCAAGTGTGGAGGCTCCCAAACAGAGTTGTATTTACAGTGTAAAAGAGGCAGATGGCACTTTGTAACTGTGTTCTTATTGCATCATGTCAAAACATGCCTTGGAAAAACATAATTCATTTCCAGTTAAGCATATAGAAAAATGTTAGGGCTTGTAGACATAGAATTTCCCACTGATCCAGCTACACTGATTTAGTTACAGTAGTACGAGTCCCTTATACAAAACACACTTAAACCAGTTTAAATCATAGGATTTACATTTCACTGGATAAATTACCAGGGTAAATAAACTAATGTAGCCCAAGTACAGCTTAAGATCATTTAAATGTTCCCACATCAGGTACTTGCACTGGAGTAAATAAATCATTTCAGGTTCATTGTAGTAAGACTTCTAATGATAGGCCCACAGGTGAGTTTCACTTTGTTCCCCAAATTCACCATAGAAACAAGTATATAAACTAGCTATCAAATGTTTGTGTTTAATTTCTAACTACAAAAGTAGGAAATCTAAAAGAACAGGACTGTAAAAAAGATATAATGCAATTAATATTAAAAAAAGAATCTTACCTTTATTAGATTTGGATGACTTGTTCTTGTTGGGTTTAAAACAAGAGCCCCTCGATTTATCTTCTCTATCCTTAATAAATTTCTGCACATCATCCAAAGAAAGCTTTTGAAGGACAACTACAGGCTTAGCTCCTTTATTTAGATCTTCAACTAGCCCAATCTTCTCTACTTTGTCTTTCTGTTCACCTCTAAATTCAGTTTTCCTTGACTCCTGAGTAACATTGCCATCTTTATCACGCTTGATTTTTGGAATGACGAAATGTTTCAATGCACCAGATCTTGCCCCCAACAAATAACTGGGAAACTCTGCTTTACTGTCAGCATGTGCTTTATTAGTATCTACTTTACCCTTATTACCATCTGTCCTTCGTTCATCCTTGCTGTTGGGTGATTTAAAACCAGGTTTATCAGGTCTTGATTTACTTGAATCTCCTCTGCCTTCCTGTTTAATACGAGGGCTGTCAGGTCTTGATTTCTGATCCCCAGCAGAAAACCTTTCCCTTGCATCACCAGACTCATGCCTATGTTTCTTTTCAAATTTCTCAGGTTTTGAACCATCAGATTTAATACCATGCTTAGAATCATGTTCATTTTTGTTAGCAGATCTCAAATATTCAGGCCTTCTAATCTTGGATGGATCTCCTCGGTATCTCTCTGAATCCCCCCTATCCTCAGATCTTTGTTTAAGGCTATCATGATCACGTCTCAGTGTATCAGAAACTGAACGACCATCAGGCCTTTGTTTTATTGGATCAGATCTACTTTCAGGTTTTACCCTTGAAAGATCAGATTTCATGTCTAGTTTATGTCTAGATATTTCAACTTTCTTATCTGACAATGGTTTACTGGAGTCCCTCCTATTATCATGTCTATGTTTTGGTGTTTCAGGCCTCCCTTCAGTCTTCTGTTTTGGCGTTTCGGGCCTACCTTCACTCTTCTGTTTTGGTGTTTCGGGCCTCTGCCTTATTTCCTGTTTGCCGTTATTTTGTTTTCCCTCATTTTGTTTCATCTCCATTTGCCTGCTCTCGTTTTGTTTTGATTCAGTCTGTCTGTTCTCGTTTTGTTTCACTTCCATTTGTCTGCTTTCATGCTTGCTTTCGTGTTTAGCTTCTAACTGTTTGTTCTCATTGTGTTTACTTTCCAACCGTCTGCTCTCACTTTGCTGAAATTCCATTTGCCTGTTTTCATTTTGCTGGATATCTGTCTTTTGACCTTCAAAGTCTGGCTTTTTCCTAAAAATTTCTGGATGGTTTTCAGGTTTAAACTTAAGAACTCCAACAGTGTCTTCTTGGGGAACACACACAAACCCGTCGTTATACTGCTTAATTTCTTCAGGTTTTTTGATGGTGTCCAAATCCTGAGTTACTGTTGCCTGAGAGTCCAGCAGATCAATACTAACCATCAATGCTGGCCTCGCCCCATTTCCTGCAGAACCTGTGTCCTGAGAAGCTGCTCTGTTTCCTCCAGTAGCACCTCCAGCCTCCTGTGGTTTATTTTCTTGTTTTCGCTTCTTCAGAGGCTTATCTGCAAGTTAAAGAGAAATAACACAAATTACATATATAGGCTGGTAAATGTCTAAGCAAGAATGTCCATTCCCCTCCACTCCCACCAATTAATCCTCCTCAACAAGTATGTGCACACACAACAAAATCAATTGAATTTAAAAGCAAGAATAGAACTTCTCTAGCTAATACTTTTCAAGATATTCAGACTACCACTCATTGTCAGTCTACCACAGCTGCCAACTGATCATCAAAAACCCCCACCCTTAAAACATATGACACCAAAATCCCTGTGTAATTAATTCCTGCGAGAGACACCTAATGAAACAGCTGCAATAAATAATGACAAAAAAACACCCATCCCAACCAAACCCAAAACTTTTAGAAAGCTCCAAACTAATTATGCTTGACACAGAAGTTTGCAGTGACAAAGCTAGTGTACACCTCCACAACCACTTTTGAGGATTACTGCTATAAAAGATTCTCTTCTGACAGATTCAGCCTGCTTCATTATACATGAACTAAGCAAGAATCTACAGTGATTAAGACAGAGGTTCTCCCTACTTGGTTCAGTGCATCAGTTGGACTTCACACATATTTTATAGCCAGGGAACACATGAACAATGAACAAAAATGATTAAAGTAACTCCAACACTCCATGCTTGTCTTTGAACTGAAGCAGTATACCAAGAGTTGGAGTCTATATCATAATACATATATATTTGTTGGGGGGCGACTGCACACTTAAAAGCTTGAGTATTTTCTCTTTGCAACCATAACTCTTTTCATGGATGAAATAAAAAGTTCAGTGTTAACCTTACGTAGTGTCAAGAGCTTGACTTTGCAATAAACCTTTCAGTTTGTACTAAAAAATCATTAAAAGTAGAACATAGAAAAATAAAGTGAGCCCATCACACACCCTGTAATTTGGTAGAATTCATAGAAATGAGAAGCACATGGAAGTATCCAAAAAAGTATGTTCTTTTCATTCAAACTGTAACCTATTTCTATAACCAACATGGTACTCTAAAATTAATTTCTGCCATGAAAACCAAAAGCCCTACTTGCACTAAGCCTTACATTCTCATTTCTGAACTAACATTGTGTAATTTGTCAAAAAACCTCAACTTTCTCTGCAATCAGGGAATATGACTTTAACGAATTAGGAAACATAGGTGGGAAATACTGTCATACAGATGTATTGTAAAAATGTCTAGACCACAAATGCAATATAAAAATAACTTATTTCGTGCCTAGGTTTGTGGTGCCTTATCACCAGGTGCAATGAGCCAGCTCTTATTTTGGAGCAGAGGAATGAGGTAAGGAGGATGCAGTCAAGGAACAGGAAATAAACGCCAAGGGAAAAAACACCACCCTCTCAAACGCTAAACAAAAGTTATAATGCATGTTTTCCAATTTCTTCTACATTTGTAGAAGATTCTTATTTAGAAGAATTAAAAACTTTGAAGGATCATCTCCAATGTTAACATTCAAGAACAATATAAAGTAGTAATATGGTCAATGCCAGTGATATGAACATGCTTTTTCTCCCATCATTTTTATTTCCAAGTCTATTTGTACATCTCTAACTTCTTAAACTCCAGAATTATATATAGTGTTTAAGGCTGAAAGACAGTAAAGACAGATAGAATCAACTCCATGCAGAAACTGGTCAACTGCAAATAAGGAACTTTGCAAAACTCAACAAAAACTGTAAGAACACCTGCCAACTTTATGGTAGAGATGTGAAGCAAAATAAACTTGTCAGATGAAAGGTGCAGTTTTATAGCATGGAGATTTTTTTTTTCTGTACTACACAAGTGTTGGATTGATATGAGAATTTACACAGAGAAATTTCCCTA